GTGCGCGGAAGTTCGGGGGTTGACGAAGTCCCGAAGTACCGAGCACCGGAAAGGAGGACTTCGCGAAACTATTAGTAACGCGCCGGGCACACTTGTCGGGTGTCCTTGGTTTACGAGAAGTACCGACTCGGGGGTCGGGAGTACAAGTACCGGAACTTAACGAAGTTCCGGAACGAGACTAGAGAGTCGGGGGGACAGGAGAGGGGAGAGGTCGAGAGCGGAATAGAAGACAAGCTTAGGAACGTAGTTCGGGGGTCGGAGGTTCGGAGGTTCGGAGGTCGGAAGTCGGAGGTTCGGAGGTTCGAGGGTAGGAGGGAATTGGATAAGTGAACGAGATATCCGAACTGAGTAGCTAGTACAATCCAGTCCGGTTTAAATACATAGAAGCCTAATTGTTCTCGGAAACAATAAGAAGTACCGTAACGGAAAGTCCGGGACTTCGGGATATAACTCGTGTCTGAAAACAATAAGCCTTTTGTCTAGGTGAGTGTCTTGGCGCAAGGCGCCAAGAAGGAAAGGTCTAAATGGAAGAAGTCGGAATAGAGTCGGAAACCGGTAGTTCGTACGGAGGTTCGTAAGTTGGCACCGGGGGTTCGGAGGTTGGGCGCACGGGATGTAACAGTGCCCTCCCTTTAGGCCCGAACCCTTGAGGGCCATAGACTAACTAGAAAAGGAAAGAATCGGGAGAAGACGACGGAGTAAAATTTTCGTCAGGGTCGGGGTTTGAGAAAAGCATAAAGTCTGGACTCAGCGGTGCTGGAAAAATCTGCCTCTTCTCTCCCACCACCACCACTACTACCACCGTAACCCCGCAACTACCGCGATGTCCCGCCTCGCCGAACTGGAGCAGGCGCTGAACGAGGAGAAGGCGCGGCTGCTACGCCTGGAGGCGGAGGAGGCGGAGAGGGAGAGGACCCGTCAGGCGGAGGAGGTGGAGAGGGCCCGTCAGGCCCCGGAACCTTCGGGGTCTGGGAAGGGGGCGAAGCGGAAGGCTCCGGAGGAGGGTGAAAAGGTCGTCCGCGTGACTGCGACGTGAGTACCGGGGGTTCCGTTCGTAGGTTCGGTGGCTAACCCCCGAACAGGACGGCCTGTGACCGGTGCGCGGAACGCGGGGAGAAGTGCGAGTTCAACTCCTCGGCACCCCGGGTCTCCTCGTGCGTGAACTGCCAGAGGGCGAAGGAGGGCGCGTGCGTCGGGGCCAAGGGGCTCCCGAGGGCGCTGCAGAGGCGGGTGGACAACAAGGAAGTCAAGAAGAAGGACGAGGAGAGCAGTCCCGCCCGCAAGAAGGCCCGGACCGACGAACCCACGGGGGCGGAAGCCCCGAAGGCCGTAGCCCCGAAGCCCAAGTCCGTCCCCAAGTCGGCCGCGATCATTGTGGACGAGGACGAGGACGGGGTGGCGCCGGAAGTTCCGGAGGTGCCGGTAGCCCCAAAGGGCCGGAAGGACCGGAAGGGTAAGGAGAAGGCGCTGCCGGACCTGTCGGCGGACGAGACGGACGTGGAGGGCCCCGGGGGCGACTTCGACATCGCGGAAGGCCCCGGAGAGATCGCTCTCGACGACAAGGACGCGACCTGGTCGAAGAGGTTCGGGCGCCCGTACACCGACCGGGAGTTGGTGTACCGACTCCTGGTCGAGTGCCAGAAGAACCGCCAGGAGCTCGCCCGCCTCCGGGAGTTCCTCGACGGCGAGGAGGACTTCCACCGGGGGTTGCTGAAGGACGAGGCCCGGGCACTGCGCGAGACCGCGGAGAACTCCGTCTCTGCGGTCCTCAAGAAGAGCCTGGGCTCCGGGTTTGCGGAGGCCATCTCCGCAGACCTCCGGGACGTCGTCCGGGAGGAGGTAAACGCCGCTGTGCGGGGTTTACTCGCGGGAATCCGGGACCAGTTCCGGGAGGACGCCGCGAACGCGATGCGCGTCGTCCTCGCAGAGCACGAGGAGTTGAAGGAGATGGCGGAGCTCCAGTCCCCGACTCCGAAGACGTCGGGGGTTCCGGTGGCTCCGGTGGTTGATAGGGAGGAGAGTGAGGACGGGAGCGGAAGTGGAAGTGGGAGCGAGAGCGAGAGCGGGAGCGGGAGTGGAGACGAGTAGGCGAGGTTTCGGGGGTTCGGACTTCGGTAGTACGGCCTTCGGGCCTTCTCCTTCTTGTTAACTGCGGCGTACTTTAGACTTCTCTAATAGAAAAATCCGGGGACGCGAAAAACAGTCAGAGTGAGGATAAAGGACCGGGCTTAGTGGGGTAAGCCGTGTGGAAGTCCGAAACGAGCTCCTGCGCGTGCTCAAGTTCCGTAGCGAGTACCCACGAGGATTCTTCGTCGGTACCTTCGTAACCTAACCACCGGACGAGGTAGAGGAGTTGACAACTCCGGCGGCGTCGGTCGATTTTGGAGTCGAGGACTTGCGCGATTTCGTACTCCGGTTCGCCGTCGATTTCTACGGGGTCTGGCGGGGGTTGGACTCGTCCGGGGATTGTGTTCGGGGTAGCGGGCTCGAGCTGGGAGACATGGAAAACGGGGTGTATCGCGCGCATAGAATCCGGGAGTTTGAGGGTGAAGGAATGAGTCCCGGGGCGTGCGATGATGGTATAGGGCCCGAGAAACTTCTCCGCAAGTTTCTTGGTTGGGCGTGTGGTGCGGATGTTCTCAGCGCGGACGTAGGCCTGGTCACCGACCTTGAAGTCGGGTGCCGGTAGGCGGTGCTTGTCTGCCTGGGCTTGGTACCGGAGCTGCGCGTCGGCGATGTGCTGCCGAAGTGCCGCGTGAAGTTTGTCGAGATCCACTGCGAACTCCCGGGCGCGGGCGGAGGTTAAGTCCCGCTCCGGGTGTACGGCGATCGCAGGGTTGTAGCCCTTGTTCGCGAAGAACGGCGAAATTCCGGTGGTTGCGTTCGGGGCATTGTTGTAGGCGAACTCGGCGAGCGGTAGTAGACGAGACCAGTTGTCCTGCTGGTAGTTGGAGTACACTCGGAGGTACTGTTCGAGGGTTTGGTTGACTCGCTCGGTCTGGCCGTCACCTTCCGGGTGATAACCGGAGGTAAAGTGCAGGCGCATGTCGAGGGCCGTACCTAGGGACCGGAAGAAGTGGGAAACAAACTCTGAGCCCCGATCAGAGGTTACGTGGGACGGGACTCCGTGCTTGGAGAAGACGTGGAGCACGAACAAGTCCGCGAGTTCGGCGGCTGTGAGGGTGTCGTGGGTAGGGATAAAGATCGCCTGTTTGGAGAGACGGTCTACGACAACCAGGATAGCGGTGTAACCGCCGGAATCCGGGAGTTGCTCGATGAGGTCCATGGAGATCGAGTTCCACGGGCGTTCGGGGATTGGAAGTTGCTTCAAAGTACCGTACGGGAGATGTCGCGGTACCTTGGATCGCGCGCAGGTGGTGCAGGATTTGACATAGTCCCGGACGAAGACCCGAAGTCCGGGCCAAGCGTAGTCCCGAAGGACGAGAGCTTGAGTCTTGTTCTGGCCCCAGTGTCCGGCGGTCGGGTGGTCGTGGCAGGACCGTAGGACCCGAAGTCGGAGGTCGTCGGTGTCTGGGACGTAGGTTCGGGAGTTGAGCAGGAGAACACCGTCTTCGTCCAGAGTCCATCGGGGGTTGCCCTCGGAAGCTGAACGAAGGGCTGCGGCGAGTTCGGAGTCGGGGGTAGGGGACGCTTGCGCAGACCGGATGTCCGCGCGGAGCTGTTCCGAGTCGAACAGGAGGGAGGCGCGTAGTACCGGATCCCGGAGGATGGTCGCGCGAAGGGAGGCTTTGAGCTGGTCCTGAGTAAACACCGGACGGTAGTTGTGCGGGTTCACTACGGAGTAGTCGCTTCCCCCCTCTTTTGGGTAGACGTCCCAACGGCGGGTCAGGGCGTCGGGTTTAGCACCGAGTTTCCCCGGGCGAAACCGAATGACGAGGTTGAACTGCGAGAGGAACTCTGACCACCGGGCCTGACGGCGAGTGAGGAGTTTCGTAGTGCCGAAATACTCGAGGTTCTTGTGGTCCGTCACGACGTCGATCGGGGTTTCGGAACCTTCGAGGTAGTGCCGCCAGGCCTTGAAGCTCTCGAAAATTGCGAGAAGCTCCTTGTCGTGGGTGTCGTAGTTCAGTTCAGCCCCGGTGAGGGTCCGGGAGTGGAACGCGATCGGGTGCAGTTCGCCAGTTTCGGTGGTTAGGGACAAGATCCCGGCGATAGCGTAGTCGGAAGCGTCGGTCTCGACGGTCAACTGCCGGTCGGGTTCCCAGTGGCGAAGTACCGGAGCGGAGGTAAACGCCTGCTTGAGGGCGTTGAACGCGGACCGGCACTTGTCCGTGAACTCCCAGGGTACGGATTTGCGGGTTAGGCGGGTGAGCGGGAGTACGATCTCGGAGTAGTTGTGGATGAACCGCCGGTAAAAGTTCGCGAATCCGAGGAACGACTGGATGTCGCGGACTTTCCGGGGTTCGGGCCACTCGAGAATCGCCTTAACCTTCGATTCCGCCATCGTAAGCCCCGCGGGGGACATGATGTAGCCAAGGTACTCGACGGAGTCCACGTCAAACTCGCACTTGTCGGCGCGAGCGTAGAGACGGTGTTTGCGGAGCCTCCGGAGAACTTCCTTGACGTGTTTCCGGTGGTCTTCCGGGTTTTCGGAGTAGATGAGGATGTCATCAAGGTAGACCACCACGCAGACGTCGAGAAGGTCCGCGAAGACCTCGTTGACGAAGCGTTGGAAAGCGGTGGGGGCGTTGGAAAGCCCGAACGGCATTACGAGCCATTCGAACGAGCCGTAGCGAGTGCGAAACGCCGTCTTCCACTCATCTCCGGGGGCTATCCGGACCAAGTTGTACGCGTGCCGGAGGTCGATCTTGGTGTAGACGCTAGCCTTCCGGGGGGTATCCAACAGGTCCGAGATGAGCGGGAGCGGATAGCGGTCCTTCCGGGTGATCTTATTCAAGCCCCGGTAGTCCACGCAGAGTCGGAGGGAGCCGTCCTTTTTCTTAACGAAAAGGACGGGCGCGCCGCAAGGGGAGTTGGTCGGGCGTATAAAGCCCGAACGGAGGTTATCTTCGATATACTCCCGAAGAGTATCCAACTCCGTCTTAGACAGCGAGTAGATGGGTCCGAGAGGTGGAGTAGCGCCGTCCTCGAGAGTGATCTTGAGGTCGTACGGGCGGTGCTCCGGTAGTACGTCGGCCTGAGTTTTGCTGAAGACGTCCGCGAACTCGTGGTATTCCGGAGGAACACCCTTGAGATCCGGGGGTTCCGGGTCGGTAGTGGACCCCCGGAGGGACGCGGATTCGGGACTTGCGAGGTTTAGAGTAAAACTCTCAGACCCCGGAAGTCTGCAAGCTCGGGCGAACGCCGCCGCGTTGATAATCGAAACGCGGGGGCCGGGGGTTGGGGAGGTCGTTTCGGGGGTTGTACAAAGGTTCTCCAGGTCCGGAGTCGGATTTGGGGCAGATACGGGACTTGTCGTGGGCGCGGTTCGGAATTTGATGCTACGCGTCTTCCAGTCAATCAACGGATTGTAGGCGGAGAGCCAGCTGTATCCCAGAACGGCGGACACGGACTTGTCGAGCGGAGTGATGTAGAAATCTATATCGAGGACCTCCCCGGAGGGAAAATGTATCGGGAGAACGGCAGTACGGGAGATGAAGTGGTTGGAAGTACCGTCGAACAATTGTAAACGGAGCGGGGGAACGGGGGTAGTCGAAATCCCGTGAAGGTCTGCAAAACTCGAGTCTAGGAAGCAATGCGAAGACCCGGAGTCGACCAGAGCCCGGAACGGAGTAGGAATAGAGTCAGAGAAGAGATCGAGGTGGAGGGACATAGGGTCAGAAAGAGCGGACGCGTTGAGCCGAATAGCTATCTCCGTACTGGAGGGGTCAACGCGGTCCTCGACGAGTACGGAGTTCGGAGGACCGCGGACTAGTTTTTCGGCTCCTTCGGAGCTTCCGGCGCGGCGGCTGCGGGGGCTGGAGCCCCGGCGGTAGCTGCGCGGGCCTTAGCCGCCGAAGAAGTCTTCTTCGGGCAGGCGTTGGCGGAGTGTCCAGCGCCGCCGCAGAAGAGACAGAGGTTGTTCGTGAAACGACGCTGGCGCTCTTCGGGGGATAGCTTCCCGTCCTTGCCTAGCTTGTCGGCGTAGGGCTTGGCCGGGGTTTTGGCTGCGGGCTTAGACCCCGAAGATTGCGCGGGTTTCGGCGTGTTGGCACTCCCGGAGTTGGAGGACTTGTTCTGCTGAGCGGGCTTAGAGTCGGAGGAGCCGGACTTTCCCCCGGACTTGGACGTCCCGGAGTCCCGACTCTGCTCGGACTTTCGCTCCCAGTAGCGGTTGTCGATAGACTGTGCCAAGTCCCGGAGCTCGACGAGAGTCGTCGGCTTGCCAACTTCCGAGATGCGGTCCTTAAGACGGTTCGGGAGACCGTCATAGAACCGGTAGCGGAGCGGGGCGTTGCCCCAACGGACCTGGGTCGCGAGGCGCGTGAATTGCGTGATGTACTTCGCGATCCGGTGGTTGTCGCTCATTCGGAGGTTCATAAGGTCGTGTTCCGCAGCTCCGGACGCGTCGTAGGGCCCGAAGTTGACGCGGAGTTCCTCCTTGAAAGTCTCGTAGTCCGTCATGAAGATTGGCGGGTTCTCGGAGTCGCTTTCCAGGAGGTACGGCTCGAACCACTGAAGAGCGGTACCTTTGAGGTAGGAAATGCCGTACGTGACCTTCTTCTCCTCGGAGTTGAAGGTACGAGGGCGGGCCTTGAAGACGAGCTCGAGTTGGGCAAAGAACAGCCGGAGCTTCGTAGGTTCGGTGCCATCGAACTGGTCCGGCTCGCGGACGTTGTTTCGCTCGGAGGAAGCACCGCCTTGGTTCTGGTTCTGGGTGGCGCGGTCGTAGGTGATAGACTGCGCGAGGTAGGCGATAGCTCCTGCGAGCTGGGTAGTCGGGTCTGGCTGTGGGTGCGGGTTTCCGGGTCCTGCCTGGCCGGCCGGGGGTTCCTCGGGTTCTCCGGGTGCTGGAGCCTCCGGTTCGCCCTCGGTTTCTCCAGCCGGAAGAAAAGGGTTGGGGGAATGGTTACGGGTCGGTGGCCTGGGCCCCGGAGTGACAAACACCGGGGGAGGGATGGTAGGGC